AGTAGTAGTAATGGTAGTAGTTGTAATAATACTACAAGTAGTCGTTTTAATAATAGCAGTAGTAGTCGTCGTAGTATCAGTAGTAGTAGTAGCAGTGGTACTAATCGTAGTGGTGGTAGCATTAGTAATAGTAGTAGTAGAAGTACTTATAGTAGTAGTCGTAGCCGCAGTCGTATAGTAGTTCCAGTAGTAGCCATAGTAGTAGTAGAAGTAGTAGAAGTAGTAGTAGTAGTAGTAGTAGTAGTAATAGTAGTAGTAGTAGTAGTAGTACTCGTGGTAGTAGTAGTAGTAGTAGCAGCAGCAGCAGCAGTAGTAGTAGTATTAGTAGTAGTAGTAGTAGTAGTAGTAGTAGTAGTAGTAGTAGTAGTAGTAGTAGTGGTAGTAGTAGTAATAGTAGTAGTGGTGCTAGTCGTAGTAGTAGTGGTCGTAGTCGTAGTCGTAGTCGTTGTAGTAGTAGTAGCAGCAGCAGTAGTAGTAGTAGTAGTAGTAGTAGTAGTAGTAGTAGTAGTAGTAGTAGTAGTAGTAATACTAAGAGTCGTAGTAATACACTGTGCACCGCAATGTCAGCGTACAGAATGCAACCAAGTGCACCGCAGCGCTTGTGTACACCACCGTGCCTGCGTGCACCACATTATCTGTGTGAACTTGCCCTGCGTGCGCCCCGATGCCTGCGTGCACCACAGCCTTTACGTACACCACCTGCTGTGGCAACAGCAGCGGCAACAACCGTTTGCCCCACAAGGCCCTTGTGTCTGCGCGCACCTCTCGGGGCCTCGGGGCCACGTCGGTCTTGTACGGTGTCCAAATTGTCGGCGCCACGCAGACCATGGTCAGGAATATGACCAAGATGGTGAGAGTTGGGTGGGGTCGGACACCGCCAGCTACATCGACATGGGTTGCTGCACAACTCGAACCACGTCGTGACCAGCACCCTGAAGTGTTCGCCATCGCGGAGCCGCTGTATACCTGGGCTCAGATGGTGGCATATTCCTCCGTACCGCATGATGTGCTACGCCAGGCTTTCTATCAGCAGCAGCAGGCTCTAGGTAATGATCCAAAGTCGGCTGCTGTTTCAGGTCCTGCAGGTGCGGTGTGGAAGATATTGGTTCAATTGAAGTGGAAAGTGCATTCACCTTTCGAATGGACCACGGCGAACGGCGTCAAGCTGGAACTGACCGTGGACCCGCCAGACTGGATCCGCACACTTGCACGCATGTCTTTCACCAGTATGAATGAAATGGGAGGATTGGGCCCGTCGTAAGGATCACGCTCCAGAGACCACGGCGCCACCTAGATGCTCGAGTGGTTACTGGATTGGCCCGCTGCAAATGCTTCTTGCTCCGAAGGAACAGGCCCGTCGCTGGAGGATCACGGTCAGGGCGCGCTGTGCGCTCAGGTCCACCATTATCGGGGGCCAGTGGTCTCAGGCAAGATTGCACAAACATGGATAGGCTGACGACGGCGATTGTATGTTCTGCCAGAACTGTCCATTCTGCCCTAACTTGGACGACGTGAGGACCGAGGCTGTGGACCAGCATATAATTGATGCCGCTCGCGCAACTCCAGTCAATGATATGTTCCATAGGCGTGGCATGCTTCCCGGAGATGCATTGCCCAACCTGCCCCCCGTCTGCATGCACGAGCAGTGGTACCACGACTGCGGCGGTCGGGAAGCCACAATCACGGGATATATATATATATATATATACAGATGGAGCTGGCCGCACATTTGTGGCCTGGCCAGAAGCATCGAGGGCAGGATGGGGCATAGCCATGATGAGAGGACGCCAGCTGCTGGGACTTGCCTATGGACCTCTTCCTGGAGCTCAGCAGTCGGTGCCAAGAGCTGAGATTTTGGCAGTTACCTTAACCCTCAGGAACGGCATCTTACCCTTACACTTTCACATAGATTTTATGATGACGGTCGAAGGCATCAACAATGGAAATGAGTGGTTTTTGCACGCCAGGAGGTCCAACGTGGACTTGTGGCGCGACCTCTGGCACGCGCTGGAGGACCAGGGCGGCTTATCGGATCAGCTGACAATCGAATACGTGAAGGTCACCAGACACAGAAGGCTGCACCACTCAGAATCAGGAAGAAAAGAAGGGCAACGACTACGCGGACGTGGCAGCGAAGAGAGGATTGGCCAAACATGATGTGCCGACCCGAGCTCGCGAGCTGCATGCGGAGTTGCTCGATGGAGTTCGACAGATAGCTCCGTGGATTGGGATTTCCCAAGCGCTGGTGGACGCAGCTGCCCCCGATCGGACACCGCCGCCTGCTCGGCGGCCGCGGCGCGACCCACGAGTTCGACGACCACGCCCGCGGCGGCAGCTCCCACAGCCGGCGCCACATGAGCGCCTGCACGAGATTGTTCGCGGTGGGTCTAATTGGAAATGCATTCACTGCACGCGCTTCGCGCGAACAGCCTCTGAACGTAGGAGGCTCGCCAGGCAAATCTGTTCAGTGAATTTTGCTCCGCCCCCCCAGAGGTGCCGTCGAGCCTTGAGGGATCCCAGGGATTCAAGAGGGCTACGGAGGATGAGGCGCAAGGTAATCGTGCTGTGCGTCCCAGACGGGACCTCACCTCGGTCGGGCCCTCTCCTTTTGACCCCTCCTCGTGCCTCCATGCTGGGGTTGCTCCTCCTCCCCCGCCTCACCCCGAGCCCAGGCCCAGGACCCAGGCCAGGCCCGTGGAGGAGGTGGCAGAGCCTTTCATTCGGCAGGTTCGGCCCAGGGTACACATCCCGAATAGGCCGCAGCTTGCACTGCATCAGGCCGTCGGCAGCGCTGAGTCTGGCTCGAAGAAGCGCCCCCGTTCGGCGGCCCCTGGGAAGGCCAGCGCGACCCTCCCTAGCATGGTGCTCCCGTCCGTGGGTCCCGTTCCTCCCGAAGCTGCTCGAGGCCACATCTTGTATAGGGCTGGAGAGTTGATAGGGTGCACGAAATGCGGGCTCTTTTCGGAGAGGTCTGCTCGATCCCAGTTGTATGCGGATTGCGACCCGACCCTTTTGCAAGATAACCCTCAGCGCAAATGGCGCCGAGATAACTTCGCTTCGGGCCGTCACCCCAGAGACGGCCGCAGGCTCCAGGTCACAGATCCTGCGGTCCAATGGTTAGGATTGAGGGCAGCTCAAAACTCAGCCGAAGAGGAAACATGGCACCGCGGGGAGCGACTCGAAGATGTAATATGGAGGTCGCGAACTGGATACCTGCACGGTCGTCAAGTGTAGCGCCACTCCCCTGGGACAGCGGACGCGGACACGGCCCGAGTCGGCGAAGCGGATGCGGGGCGCGTGCATGCGAACAGAGGCCCATGCAGGAGGCGAGGCGACGCGGTGGGAGGAAGCAGCCGCAACGGCAAGGGAAGAAGAGAACCCGCGCGCCAAGCCAGCGCGTCGCGATGGAAGACCGCGGCCTCAGGGCACGACGAATACTGGCGGAGCTCGGCATACATCCGAAGGTCAAGTCACGGTCAGTCGGGACAACCAGGGTCGAGTATTCGAGCACAATGTCGCGTGCCTCGAACAGTTCCAGGCAGGACTGAGACAGATCTTGGGCCTGCGGCCAGATCTTGCCAGCAAGGTCGTGGCAGAGTGTCGGCCGCGAGAGCCCGACGAGCAAGGAACGCTCACCCACTCGTATAACCGTTACAACAATTTACACTTCTGGTCCTGCACTGCGGGAAAGTCCTGAACGAGAGCTCCACTATGCAAGGGAACCGAGCTGCATCCGTGCAGCTGCTACAACACTTGGCACCCCTGGTGTTCAATTCAAGAGGGCCTCAGCGTGAAACAGGACTGCCCTCCATCCCTGTAATGGCTGTAAGATTTTAAGACGAAGGCGCGCGCCGCTGAGGCGAGAACCCCATTTAGGGAAAGAGCCGTCTTTCACCCTGGCAGGTGCTGCAGAAGTTTGAAAGGAATGTGCGCGGCGCTTAGGCGAACTCTCTATTCTCAAAGCGGATCCCACATCCTTGTAACGATTGCAATATGTTTAGCACATGTGCGGGGCGCTACGGCGAGAACACCATGTTGAAAACGACCCCCATTCCGTCACTGCAACTGCTGCAATATTCTCAGACGGATATGCGCGGCCCTAAAGCGAGACAGCCGTTCTGAAAAAAACACCCCCTCCATCCGTGTAGCTGTTTCGAACTTCGCGCTTCCACGTCATAACTGGTGAGGGTGTCTCATGCGAAACACCTGGCCAGCAGTACAGCAATGTATGGTGGAGCCACAGGGAGACGATACTTAAAAGGGGAAAGGATGGAGGAGCCTCCTTCTCCTCCTCTTCCTCCTGCTCCTCCTCCTCCTCCTCCATCATCTTTCCGCCTCCTCCTCCTCCTCTTTTTTTCTTCTTCCTACTCTTTCTCTTCCTGCTCTCTCCTTCCCTTCCTGAGGGGGAGGAAGAGTCCTCCTCCTCCTCCTCCTCCTCCTCCTCCTCCACCCTCTTCCACCCTCCTCTCCTGGTCCTCTCCCTCTTCCTGCTCGCCCTATCTCCTCCTCTTCCCCCCTCCCGCCCCATTCTCTCCCCGCCCTCCCGTCCTCCTCCTCCTCCTCCTCCTCCTTCTCCTCATCGTCTGCCTCCTCCTCCTCCTCCTCCTCCGTCTCCTCCGTCTCCTCCTCCTCCTCCTCCTCCTCCTCCTCCTCCTCCTCCTCGTCCCTCTTGCATTTCCTCCTGCTCCTGCTCCTGCTCCGTCTTCTCCACCCCCTGACGCTGGCGCTGGTGGCATCTCAGACGTGGTATCTGGCGCCACTGCCTCCTGCTTCTCCCGCTTCTTCTTCTGCTCCTCCTCCTCCTCCTCCTCCTCCTGCCTCTCCTCTCCCTCACCCTCACCCTCGCCCTCCCCCTCTCCCTCCCCCTCTCCCTCCCCCTCTCCGTCCCCCTCCTCCTCGTCCTCCTCCTCCTCCTCCTGCTTCTCTCCCTTCTCTTCCCCTCCTCCTGCCCAATCGCTCCGCCTCTCGCCCTCGCTGTCTCCCTGGCGGACGCCCTGTGACCTGAGGCTGAGTCGTGATCTTAGCCATCTGCGTCTTGATGCTGTGGGCCAGCGTTTGGTACTTCTCCTTCGTATCGTCCGTGATGCTCCTTGCCCACCCTCCCCGCACGGAGGGGTCGAAGGCGGCTGATACATTGTGATTCCCCCCGGCAACTCGCGCACGATCCGAAGGACGGCGGAGGGAGAGTTGAGGGCATCCACTTTTAGTGGCCGAAAGCCGAGTTCAGTCTCTTCGGGCAGCCCGCCCGCGCTGTGGCGTGGCGGGAGAGTTGGTTGGGACCGCCTTGAAAAAGGCACTGCCTTCTACCCTTCGAGCGACAGAGCGCGCGGCGACGTGGGGCCGGGAAGGCCGAGGACAAAACGCGAGAGCTCCGCGCTTGGAAGACAGAGCCGCCCTTCGCCCGTCGAACGGGAGCGAACCAAACCGAGAACCATGCGCAGACCGGCGCGAGGGCGGGGACGCACCGGAATGGAAGCGCTCACGGCCCCTGTGCCCGCTGAGCAAGGCAAAAAGGAAGGGGTGGGAGGGGCACGAAAGCAGTGTCACCTGCACTGCTCTCGAAGCCTCTGGCCGGGGGGCTGGGGCCGAGACTCCCCAAAACATGGGTCACATCTACACTCAATCTGCACCCTCATCCAAGCTCCGAGTGAAACGTTGTGTGAGAACATCCCATTCCTGAGGATCACGTGCGTGCTCCATGGGGCTTGCATCCAGTGTCAAGCATGTCGACATGCTTTTGTACAAACACGTGCCCCATTCGCCATTCGCCCTCCCTCCCCCCCTCCTCCGCCTGAGTGAGACCGTGGCGGAATGTACGCTGCTGTTTAGGAGATGTGAACAGCCAGGCTATTCCAACTTTCCCGAGCCAAAGAACTTGATGCCTCAAAAGCTGCCTGATCAACAGTTGCAGGATTTTAGGCGTCTGGCAAGAAGTAATAATGACGTCTCAAGCGAGACAGAAAGAGAGAGAGAGAGAGAAACCAACTTATGATAAGGAGTCGCTATCCACCCGAGTAACCATGAACGATTTTGACAGCCTGGCCTCACTTTTTGAGAAAGACTAACGCGAGATTCCCACGTCTGAAAAAAAGAAGAACCCATGTGAAACCTACTCTCCCTGGATCCATGTGGCTGTTGGCAACTTGAACAACGAATGTGCACGTCGACCAAGGCGAGAACCTCGTGTTGAAAACGAATCGCCCTCGATCCGTGTGACAGTCGGAGATCTTTGGTTCCAAGGTCAAAGACGGTGGAGATCATTCAGGCGAGCTGGCCAGACCAGCCCAACGACACGTCTGGTGGCGCGACACGAAGGAGTTGTTTGCAAGAAAGGATGCGAAGAAGGAAGAGGAGGGGAGGGGGAGGCACAACAGGGAGCGAGAGTGGGAGCGGAGCGTTGTCTGGCGGTTCATTGCGCAACGCTCCGCCCAGGAAGCGCCGTGGTGGGCGGGGACTGGCGATGGCTGCGCAGGGTCCCGCCCTGGTGGTCCCGCCCATTCTGTAGCCTGGGCGCGGCGGCTGTGGCGGTGGCGGAACCTTCTGCAACCAACGACGCCCATTGGATGGAGAAGTACCTCCCGAGGAGGAAGGCCAAAGGGGCCTGGCGGGCACGGCGCTCGCGCGGCCCGCACGTCTGGCAACCGTGCAGAAACTGGCCCCCTGCGGCGGGCAGCGGGTGCCGACCCGGGCGGGCGGGCGCAGCCGCGCGACCTAATAAGGCTCGGGGCCCCGGCCGTGCGAACCGGTCTACGCCAGACTTCGTCATAAAAGGGAGGGGGTCTGGACCCTCCAATCGGGGAGACGTAAGACCCGGGTACGGGGGACTCGGAAATCCCCGACGAGGTCGTCAAAAAAATGACGAGGCCGAGCCTGCATTTTGACGAGGCCTCCCGCTGCAGACATCCCACGAAACTCCTCCTCGTCAAAATCCGAGGCGCGGTCGTCAAAAAACGATGGCGAACCCGAGTCCTGGCAAACCCGGGTCTTACGCTCCCCCGATCCAAGACAAGCCATTTCAGACCTCCCCCGTGGGAGAACCCTCCAAAATATCGTCCCCAGGCCCCCCAGGCCCTCCAGGGCAGCCTGGAAGAGCCCCCCCTCCCGAAATGAGACCCCCCCTCCCTTTGCATTACGAAACCTGGGGTAGCTGCTGTTTTGGTCACCGCGAACGCTTCACCAGCGATGCGCTTCTCTCCAGAGCGCCGTGGCCAACGTCCAGTTGGCGGTGGTTGCCTGTGGGGGTGCTGGGGGGCGGACGCAAGGCGAAGTGGTCTGGGGGCGGCTGTGTGGCGGCGTTTGCCCAGGGTCGCGCCCTTCGGAATTCTGCCTCAAGGGGCCCTAGCTGGGAGCTGGTGTTTGCGGCGTGGGTTGCGGTGCAGCTGCGGAGTCGGTGACCGGGCACGTGTATGTGCTGCCCGCCGATCGCATGTCCTCCTTGGCCTGCATTCTCGCTGCTCGCTTTGCCGTGCCCCTCTCCTGCGCTCTCGCGGCTGTGGCTTG